GATCCGGGCTTTATGGTAAGTCAGTCCCATACTTTGTGTAGGTCTTCTGACGTACTCTCAAACTCAGCGGGTGCATGGCCCAGCCGACAACATGGACTCTGACCCCGCCACGACACCACCTGAAGGGCTGGCTCGCTTCAAGCACTGTATACGTTCTACAATCAGCTCTTACCTCGACGAGCTCCAGCAGTATTCGTTCGCAGTGCGATCTCCTGAAGCGGAAACGGAGGTGCTCCGTTCCGCGCCTGGGCGTGTTTTGGGCAGGCTGCAAGCCGCTGCCCATCGATTCGCACTGGATCTTCGCGCGATGCAGGCGGGAAGGGGTAGGATCAGCTTGTTGCAGGGGCGGGAGCCATATTATTTCGACGGCGTCTTCAGGGCTGAGATGTATACTGCATAATCATCACAGCGTCTCATCTTATTCACTGCACATGTACTACAAGTAGCTAACGACACTATACGAAATGGATCTTATATGCACATTGATCGGTGAGACCCCATTGGAAGACGCCCGTGCAACTCATTGCACGGGCACCATACCGGCCCAAAGCGGCAACTGCTCTCCAGGAGCGATCTCCAGAACACCTCGCTGACGGTGAGAAAGGAAGCGGTCAAGCTCTCTCCATCCCTTACCATGCCCAGCCGTATGCATGAGGGCATGGTGTACTATTTCGCCTCCAATCTCATGCATCTATTTTCAGTACCTCTCTCGAAAACAGGTGGTAGGATGGCCCACAACCTGGAGTGGTCCCCTAGGTTTAAATTGAAGCCCTCCATCGGCGACGCGATCATACCGGATGCGTCATTTCTGTTGGATTTGGGCGGGTCGCTGCACCTGGTGGCCGGTTTGGACGTTTGTTCCACTCAGAGCGCGCCGAATGTAACGGAGAAGGTGAGTCCCTCAGCGCGTGTATCCGTGGTTTTGTAATTACTAAAGGTCTCCGTAGTGGGCTAGAGCGATAGACTCCGCATGCCAGCCCGCTGTGGCCATATTCCTGGTATTCATACCAGAACAGGCGCACGATACCCTCCAGACGCCTATGAGCCACCACTGGCAACGGTGCGAGGCACCGGGGCGTCACTCAAACGCCATGTTCAGGCTTCTCAAGTGCTCCAAACCTATGGGCAAGAAATGGGGCCGGGGACTTATTGAGGCGCAGCCTCTGGTCAACCCGGACTGGGGCTTCCGCAAACAGCCCACCCGGAACGCTTACGGCTTCAGACCGGGCACCACGCGAGGACGGCGCAATGATCCGCCAATCGGTGAGGTCAGGGTGGGTGGGGCTAGGATCCATGGCGGGCAGCGAGCGTACTTCGTCGTCGCCAATCATAACAACTACCCCGTCATCTCCCAAGCTGCAGACGAGAAGTGGCCGCTACCGCGTCTGTGCGAGGAGTTACCTTGCGTGGTAAGTCATCGATTCTTTTGTTTTACCACTGACTCAAGCCGGATGTCCATTCAGGAGCTTCGCCATGACATCGGTCAGGACGGGGTCAGCGGCCTCGCTTCCCCGCAAGCCGTCTCTCAGATTTCTTGGGAGTTAAAGAAGGTGGTAGAAACATCGCTCATTATGTTCAGAGCGATTGGGCCGACTCCGGATGAGCGGCAGTGGGAGATGCTCATCGCGGGGCGCAACAGCGTCATACTCAATTTCCTCATGGACCGCCTTCATGGCTATCCGCACGACGCTGTCACGCTCGAAGAGGACGATCCGCTCTTCATTGTAGCCACGCAAGACCCACGGCTGGTGACGTTGAGTGCGGAAGAGAGCATCACGGCTATCTTGCGTGTCGCGCTCAATCGCCTGCGAGACTTGGTCTCAACGCACGCAGGAGATAGGTTCAGGGAGATGGTACAGAGGAACGGCGCTGGCGGCTGGGCTCGGGGGCCAAACGAGAATCGATGAGGTATAGAGTACGGACTTGTAACGATGTTTGTAAGCATTTTGTATCACATGTATGTCAATTCAAGAGCTTTGTGACACTCGGAAAGAGATAGCACGACGAGCGCTTCACATCCCAATCATGTCAGACCAGGTAACTGAACCTTCGTTCGATATCACGACCGGTTGGTATTTCTGGGTGTCTCTAGATGAGGCTACTGCACTCGATCAGCTTCTCGAGCGCTGTCCGCTCGCAAACAAACCTCTTCAGTCCATTCTACACCGACTTCGTGGCTCCGCAAAAGCGCAGGGATTCCGGCTGCAGGCAACCGAGAATGCATCGGCCTCTGCCAGGAGTCCCAGGTCGCCGTCCTCAGATGATGAAAGTCTATCATGTTGCTCTATAGATGGGAGCATAGCAGCAGAGGAGACAGAGGAGGAATCGCTGGAGACTGCGCAGTCTAGTGGTGAGTCCACACGTCCATGCTTCCGCGAGTACCGCATACAACGGACAACTGGTTTCCACAGGTATTACACCTAGTCGTGCTCGCTCTCAGCCAAAGCCCAAGAAATCGAAGCATCATCGGCGGGCGGACTACTCATTCGGTGCCCCCTGTCCTAAAAAGACCGGTGGAACAAGCCTACGCAAGTGGGGGCAGCGTAGCAGGCCTGCAATGGCTCTGGCTCCATCAGTAACTCCATTTGCGGTACGCCTCGGCAGCGCTGTCACCGAGGACTCGTTTGGCGAGTACGCAAGTTCTCTGCAGACCTTGCTGAGACACGGGGAGGAGCAGAAGGCTTCTTAGATGACAGTCTGCCATCCATCCTGCAGCGATGCAAGCGAATTGAGCGCAACGGCGCGGCGGTGGCCTTTTTAATCATAATACACCACTTGCAATTGCTATGCAAATGCACAACGTACGTCGCGTGCCACTCATTGCCCACAATGTGTCGTCTGAGAATCGATTCAGCCTTCGCCGCGCTGAGTCACTGAGCATCTCGGAAGTCTACCGACGTCATATTCGAGGCCTTGATGGAGCACCGCGTCGTCGAACGTTCATGTACTGGATTGCGGCGGCTAGCAAATTTGCAGCCGTTGCCCTTGGAGGTACTATACGTCATGATCATTGCTATGGGAGGTCTGGTTGAACTAATGCATTCCCAGGCTCGATTTACACCCTGGCGATCGTTGCATTTGCGAATCTGCGGGTGCCCCTGATGAAGTCCGTCGGAAACCTTGCGTGGCAATTGTCAAACTTGCTCCGAGATCCTGAACCCAGTGCGTCACCAAGATATGCGTGATAACTGGTCTAATCACACAGGTACCAGCTACACCGGCAGGTCAGGCCATTATTGAGCACATTATCCCAGCCGTCGCCAGCCTACGCCACTCACTTCCTTTGACCTTCGATACTCTGTTCCCACAGAGAGTCCTGGCTGATCTCAACATGTCAACGGACACGATGGCATGCTGGAACCTAGTACAGTCTGACGAGGCGTTGAGCTTGCTGGATCTCAAGTGAGTGCCCGTACAGTCCATCCTAATGAGCCTTATCTCGAATGCTGACCGGCCACCACAGTACGTTTACACCTATCCCTAGAAATCTCGCCGCCTGGGGGCCATGCACTTCAATACTAGAAGAGTCTCAGCATATTCACCTGACGTCCGTTAGCCATCGCATATTCCGACTTCAATACGAAGATTCAGCCAGCTTTGATCCGCCCTCACCCTTGACGGATATCAGCGACAATGAGATGGAGGGTGCCAGCAGCTGTGCAGAGGTAACGGACGAGCCGTCACCGTCTAGCTCGCATGGCGCAACTGTAACGCTGCAGGGTTTTGAGCTCTGTCTCGACCACCATCAACGGTACCCGGTACCACAGGACGAGGACGAGGCCTTTGCATGGACTGAAGAGCAGTGTTCCCTTGCCAAGGCAGCGAGCGAACATGAGAGTCTGACTGAGTTTATAGCAAAGGTACGAACCATGCCGAGTTCTATTCCAGGCACTTATCTGACCCGTCCAAGCTGTCGAGCATGTACAGCAAAGGCTGTCGGGTGGATTATCAGGAGTACGCCAGGATCGGGTTGTCAGATGTCAAGTATGTGATTCCCAAGTTAGCTGCTAGTCACAGTTACAGGTGCTAAATCCGCTGCAGTGGTCCACTCAGGATAGAGGATGAGCACGGGTCTTTAGTTGTCTGTGTTTTCTCAAGCATGCCGGAATCTATGCGACAGACTCTGGCGTCGAAGATGGTCGCATGTTTCGAGGCACAGTCGGCCAATCTTGAAGAGACTGACACAGCGTCCGAGGGCAGAAGTTACCGCTTCCCAGCCCTACACTTCTCTTGGTACAATCGCCACGGCACAAGGGTACGTCCTGTGATATCAATCATGTCTATAGCCAGCACTCACAAGAGAGCGCATCGTCAGGGACACGATATCCCTCCAAACGTGCATCCAATGCTATTGGAGAAGGAAGATCATTCCCGCACTAACTATACACAGATGCTTCCGTATCCCTCTCGCGACATGAAGAAGTATGAGGAGATATATCATAATCTAGAAGAGATTCTCGGAGAAGTTTTTGAGTACATGGCGGAGCAGGCAAGATATTTACCTGTGAATTCACTGATATGGACTCACTAAAGTCCAACAGGTCAAGGACTCATTGCTCGAAGAGTACGAGGTCCTCAGCATGGACGCTGAGATCCTCCCAGGAAACGAGCACTCCATAGTGCATCCCTTCCTCTCACTTGTAATCAACCTCAACGTCGCCACTTTAGCTCACAGGGACCGGCAAGACAAAACTCTCTGTGTCGTGCTCGTTGTTGGAGATCACACTGGCGGAGAGCTGTGCATGTACGAGCCGGGGTTGGTCTTGCCACTGCGAAACGGCGACTTCGTTGCTTTTCCCTCCCACCGCATCACGCACTTCAATCTCCACTTTGTTGGTCGACGCGCTTCCATAGTGTTCCACACCGACAGGGAGATGGAAAAGTGGACGAAAGGAGGGCGAAATGGTTGGGAAGGCAACAAACACTTTCATTGACATGAGCGCTGTGCTGCGCCACCCGGATTACGTCTACCTGCATGTACTCCAATGGAAGTTGACGTGGACTGCCACTGTATCCCTACCATGTAACAAGTATCGTATTTTTCAATTCTAAAGCTTCATCTCATACCTGCTGTTGTCTTCGCCCCGGACTGGAAAGAACTAGCAATGTTGGATTAGAGTGCCCCGGAGTTCGGCGCAGCTCCGCATCTCCGAAATCTTCTGCAAGACGCGTTGGCGACGTTGTTGTTCCTTGACGTCGACACGCTCTGCTCTGTCATCCTCTCGCTTTCTTACAATCATGGCCACTCGTCGAACGCGATCAACTGCCTCGAGGGACAACAAGAAGAGCGGCACCAAGGCTGCCCCCAAGGCTACCAAGAAATCCGGTACTTCGTCTGCCTCTGCAATAGTGGACGAAGGAGATGCTCTGAATCGTTGTAAGGAGTTGGTGAGAATGACGAACCCTGATGCCTCGGAGAAAACGGTCGCCTCCAAGGCTCGCAAGATGCTCGCTGAGATGAGGGGGGTCCTGCCCCAGAGAAGGAGCGTCTACAAAGTAAGTTATGAGTGATTACCACATAGATCAGCTAACTATACACCGTTTCAGCCATACAGGCGAACAGTGCGGCGGCGATGGAGGAGGATGAGGATGCTGAAGGCGATGAAGAACCTGAGGTTGTAGCTGGGGATGAGGATGGGCTTGGAGAAGATGAGGTGGAAGAGCAACCACATTCCAGCTCCTCTGATCGTGATGCGCCCGCTGCTTCGAAGGGAAAGGGCAAAGCAACGGGAAGAGGTGTGTATATGGTGGAGATTGTCCCGGAGAGTCTAACAATATTACAGTTGCATCGCCCCCGAAGCCAAAGCCTCGCCCGAGGCCGCGCAAGAGGAAAGCCGACCAGGTATCCGAACAGGAAGACAACGACGCGGATCCTGTCGCGCGAGCCCCCGAGCGGCCTGACAAGAAGAAGACCAAGGTGCAGAGCCCCGGTAAGTTGGTTGGGGCTAGTGCGTCCCAGCCTGCAGCGCATAGTAGCTCTCCTACATCGCGTGAGTCGTCAGTACTTCTGTGTTTCCACGTGTGCCTCTAATGTACGCCACTGCTGGTAGCCTCATCACCTGGAAAGAAGAAGGTGGAGGTTGTTATTCAGTCGCGTCCGGCAATCGCTGCGTTACCTCAGGATGAGCAGTCATTAATAGATCGTCTGCGTAAGCAAGCCTCATTTTACCAGTCTGAACGGAAACTAACAGCCACTTGAGATACAGGAGCACGGGGCGGGAAGAAACCGGCACCTGTACAGAGTGAGGAGGACAGCGAGAAGGATGAGTTGTCAGAGGACTCGAAGATGGAGGACTCGGAGGAGAACGGAGGTGAGTCCAACTTCCTTGGTAGGCACAGCCAATGTACTGAGGAAATGCGAGCCCCTGAAGCATCACGTCGACGAGCGGTTAAGAGTAAAACCAACACCACTCGCCACGCCCTGAAAGATGCCTCTGGGGATGAGAGCGAGTCCTATCACGTCTCCGAGCAGGAGGATCAGGGAGACAGCGACGATGGCGAGCATGAGGAGCATGCCTCTGACAGCGACGAGGTATGTGGGTAATGTCTATGGAGTACAACACTAATTGAGGTCTTCAGATCATCGTCAAGTCAGAGAAGGCGAATGCGAAGGGGAAGGCTGCTAAGGGTAAGAGTAAGACTCTGGGCAAGAAGAAAGCGTCAAAGGCCCCCGCGGACGCACTCGCTGAACTCGAACAGGAGCCGTTCCGGAGTTTCGTGCAGCATGCGCAGATAGAGTTCAAAGCGTATCTGAGTCTCGAGAACGCGTGGCCCCGTCACCAGGACACAGTCATCGACAAGTTGGACGCCCCCATGTCGATGTACGAGAGGGTCACGGCCAAGCACAAGGCCTATCAGACACCCAAGTTCAAGGCGCGGTACAAGCAGATGAAGCGGCAGGTCTCCACTTACAATGAGCTGCGGAAGAAGGTAAGTAATGTCATTATTTTGAATGACTGGGGGTTGACACTTTCACGTCTTTAGGTCTATAAGCTGGCGTCTCAGTTCCGTCAGGAGGTGAAACAGAAGGCCAAGCGTGTGGTGGAAAAGGAGTTCCTGTCCATCAAGGTGTCTGAGTTTGGTCCCAACGGTGAAAGGCTGAATGCTGTGGCTCGCGCCGATAAGCTACAGAGCGCTTTGGAGGCGCGTATTCGGTTCCTCAAGGATGGGGACACTTTCCACCACGGCAACCTCAAGATGCCCGATCCTGATGTTGAACCATCGGTGCGCAGACCTGACCATCTAGATGACAAGAGAACTAAGCTAACATCATGATGGAACAGCTGTGGGTGGCGGAACGCGACGCCCCGTTCCACAACGAGGCCATTGCAGAAATAATAGCTCGTCATTGGTGGCTGGGACAGAATCCTGAGGCGCTGCGAGCGGAGAATCGTGAACGATTCGATCTCAACAAGGCCCCTTTGTCCAGCAACATGATTGCTCTCGTGTGTAGCGCGGTGAGTAACCAAGTGGTCTGCAGAATGCTCCGTGAATGTCTGATTTATATGTTGTCAGATACTGGTGACTCTGGAGGAGGCCCTCAAAGGCAACATCACCATCAACTTCGACGAGAAGACATACGCTCCGGAGTGTGTCCAGCCCGCCATCAGTTCAAACATTCAAAGTTGATACTGATGCTTTTATCTGCAGGCACGATCGCTTCAAAGCTGGCATTGACATGCTTCGACGGTACGGTGATCCCAAGAATCCCAATTTCAACGAGGGGATTAGCCAGTTGGTCAAATCCATGAACAACTCTCTGGTCAACGGCATACGGTATACCCAATACCTTTATTCAAATATCTGAATTACTGAAGGATTCCCTGGTCAGAACTGTTGCCAGGATCGCTGAGCCGGAAGTCGTGCAGGCCTCAGAAGGACCGCGCCCCAGTGTCAACCTCAACCTCGACATGGATCTTCTGGCCTCTCGCTGGCTGAAGAATGCGGGCGCGTCATCTGAGAACACCAGTGAGGAGGCCGGCCCATCCTCGAGCACCCAGAGGGGACCACCAGCGTGAGGATGTTGGAGAGGACGCATGGGTGGCATACTCAGAGGTGTGCACCATGGCATTGTTTGCCATTGACTCTGCTCAACTAGCATCAACAGGCGGTGTAAGACTAAGCTGATGGCCACGACCTTGCTGGTTGGCGGTAAATATTTTATCTGGGCGGCCATTCTCCTCGACTCATACGTTGTCTTGTCTGTATCCTTGGGCGCGCCCCTGTCTCAGTTTGTATCGTTGACATAATCATCTCCCCAGCCACAATACCTCTTCTGTACGCTCAGCTGCGGGTTCTGTTGTTGTATCACGAATGTACGATGCCGAATATGATGATTTACAATCGCTGGGATCCCCTTTAAGTGCCTCTGAAGACCTTTATAAGCTCTAAGAAACAGTGCTACAAAATGGGTACCGACAGAAACATCTCTCAATTAGTCGGAACGTACTCTGGAGCAAATGAGAGCACAGACAAGCGGCCATAGAATAAGCCCCCACGATTTTTGGGCGCCTATTGGAACCCTCACAAGCGCTTTGCACGTCTCATCAGTAATTCTGCTAGCTTTCTGGTGAGGCGCTAATCTTCCAATTAAGGGACTTACTTTAGAAAGTAGTTGGGCTTGCTCCGCTTAATCCATGAGCATTTTGTTTCTTGGTGACACTTTTGCCGCTCTCAGAGTATCTCAGAGTGCTTTGGCAAATGGGCGGTTTTTCCTGATGCGCACTGTTTCATGATCACCTCGACGACACCCACAAGAGGTGAAGTGAAGTCTTCATCGAACGTCGGCGCAATGGCCACTGCTAGACCCTCCTCAGGCCAAAAATCGATGCTGTGGCATGTCATCGTCAGTATCCAGAAGGGGAACGACCTATATGACTTACCGCATGCAGCGCAGGAACGAGATCCAGTGCTTAAGCTCTCCTTTCCGCAACTTCCACTTCCAGCTTCGCTCCAGCGTCTTCTGCATCAGCCGAAATTGTGCATCGCTCAGCCCTTCAATGGACTGAATGAAATCGTGGTCGATCAAAACAAAAACGGAATGTGGGCGGGTGTGATTTACCTTCGTCACGAACCCCTTCCGACCAACAGCCACCCACTCCGTCTGTAGCTGCCATACGATCTTGAAATACCCGCGGAGGGCAAGGTATTCACGGTCAGGGCAGGTGCGCCTCAATAGATCCCAGAACTTCTCCGGGATGGCGACTTCGGTGAGAGTGTCGATAACGTAACGACCCGTGACGGCATCATCTCCGTACCCGAGGGACTTGATCACTGGGAGTTGATCGCGGTCGTTCTCGGTAAAGGAACGACCAGGTGAGTATATAGCGACCTGCCCTAGCTGCTGAGGATCCGGCGGCGTGCTGGGCTGAGTGTCCACGTCCGAAGGTGGGTCAGAGTGAGCAGTGTCGGCGATAGAGCCATGCTCTGATTCACTATCAGAATGGCAGGTGGGGTGCATAGCGGTATGGTAGCTGCGAGGCATACTGAGCGTCGATGTTGATCCTGGGAGCAGACGTTCGTCAGCCACTCTGGTGGCTCATGGGAACAGCCGGGCTGCAACTCCGACAGGGAGGCCTCCACTTGTTCTGCTATAATGAACAAAACGTACGCTGCTCAACAGTCCCATGCTTGAAATCGCACGTACTTTTGTGACAGTTGTTCAGGGAGTTCATCCCAGATACAAGGGGGGCGGCATGACGCGCAACACGTCGCACAAGCCGTAAAAGGCAAGTCCTATAATGCTACTGAGAATAACCGTCAGCTCATGGGTATCAGCAGACGTCATGACCACGCACCAGTACACGGAATGTAATAACAATACTGTACATGAGCCCTAGAAGCATTCTAATCAAGTGGTATGCCGGTTGTGAAGTCCAGGGGAACCCCCAATTCAGCCTCAAGGGAATGCCACAGTGACCGTGCAACGGATTGCACAAGCCATAAAAGGCAAGTCCCAATACGGCTCCTAACAATGGACACAAGTTCAGCGTGGATAATACAACACAACCACTCACTCGTTCGCCACGATGGGGTGAGTTCGTTGAATGGTTAGAGACTGACGTACTGTATGGACGTTAGGACACCGCTGTAGTTGCGGGCCCACCACCTGCCAACTACATCCCCAGTGTAACAGGCACTGACCAAGGACGGCGGGTTGCTAGAGCTCACTCAAACACGACAAGTATAGCAACAAAGTGCATGATATGGAGATGAGTACATGGAAGAAAAAGCGGGGAGGTAGGACCTGGGAAATGGCCCGTCACTTTACCTCATAACCTGACTGAATGGGGATCAGACGCCGGCACAACCGACTTCAGGGCGCTCCGAGAGTGAGAACATACGCTGCGCTGTCCTTGAGAGCGGTCTTGACCCCTTCATAACACTGGTGAGCGAGCCCATGTCACCGGGCTGGGGTATTGATAGAAACTATTAATTCATTCTGTACAGCTACGAAACGCGACCCAACATGGCCAGAGGTAAAGCCAAATCACCGCATTCCACGAACTTTCCTCGCGGGAATGCGGAGGACAACACTTGCCCTGCTTGCGACAAACCTCTCAAATCAGCTTCAGGCCTCATGGCCCATCTGTCTACGGCTCGATCTTGCCTGTGGTACAGAAAGGGCAAGAACCGGGAGCCAAGGTGTCACGCGCCAGAAGTGGTGGACGAGGAGGCTCCTCCCGCGGTGGACATGGACGTGGATGTGGAGGACTTCCGGGACGTGCTCGAGACCAGGGACCTGTTCCGGTTTGTTGTCCCCACGTCAGCAGCTGATTTACCCATCTTAAATGAGGGCGAGGCTTCCACCTCATCGTCTACGAGCCACGTCCCTGCCCAGCCTTTACAAATGCCGCCCGGGCCAGCCTTGGATGACGACGACAACACCAGAGTAGAGGATGAAGACGAGCTTGCCGGCAGGGTGATACGGATGGAGACGAGTATAGTGGAGACGTGGAGGGCGTATTTCGGGGAAGATGAAGATGGTGAAAATCCGGGCAAAGATGACCGAATGGATGTGGATGGTGAAGACCAGTCTCAGAAGGACGAAGACCAGTCTCAGAAGGAGCTGGACCGGAACAAGAAGTGGAAGCCCTTCGCGTCGGAGCTCGACTGGCGTGTAGCTATGTGGGTTGTTCGTGAGGATGTTGGTCAGAAGTCCATCAATCGGTTTCTGAGCATACCCGGTGTACGTCTCCGTATTTCTCTGCTGGATCAATCTCAACTCAGAGTGGATGCTTGTAGGTGGTCGACAAGCTGGGTCTTACATTCAAAGACATACGGGAGCTCTTCATGAAGATCGACGACATCCCAGACAGGGCAGCCTGGAAGACTTCATCTCTGGCATTCCCTGACCGGCCTGATGAGAAGCATCTGGTCAGATACAGAGACATACTTGAAGCAATCAAGGCGCTGCTTGGCAACCCTTCGTACGCGAAGTACATCGTGTATCGGCCCAAGCGCGTCTTCACGGATCGGTCCCGGACCAAGCGTATTTTCACCGAGATGTGGACGGGACTGTGGTGGAATGCGGTACAAGTGAGTCTCCATTCCTGTTAATACTACTTGGGATTCTGAAGGGTGGGCAATAGAAGCTAATACCTGGGGACCATGCCGTCGCCCCAGTCATCATTTCCACCGACAAAACGCAACTCACACAGTTCTCTGGTAACAAAGCGGCGTACCCGGTCTATCTCACTCTTGGCAACATACCTAGGGCGATCCGCCGCAAACCAACAGAACACGCCTGCATTCTATTGGGATATCTCCCTGTGACCAAGATCGGAAAGAAGCAGCTTGGCAAGCGGGAATGCAAGGCAAGGGGTCAGAGACTCTTTCACGCGGCAATGCGTATCATTCTTCAACCTCTCGTGCAAGCAGGCGTGGATGGTATCGAGGTCACCGGAGGCGACGGCTCCGTCCGCCACGTTCACCCCATCCTGGCTTCTTACGTTGCTGACTACCCCGAGCAGTGTCTGGTGACGTGCTCGAAGTACGGCACCTGTCCAAAGTGCCTGTGCCCCGCGGACAAGCTGCAAGACGATGCCCTCAAGGAACCGCGCACCCCCGAGGAGACGGAGCGCATCATCAGGGAGGCACGAGCTGAGGGGAACACCCCCGCCGCCGCCGACGCCCTGTGCATGGAACAAGAGGTCAGCGGCGGTGTGAAGACACCATTCTGGACAGACCTGCCGTACACTGACATCCACATGTCCATCACCCCGGACGTGTTGCATCAGCTGTACCAGGGGGTGTTCAAACACCTGGTCTCGTGGTGCCAGGATCTCCTCAGCCCGGAGGAGCTCGACAACCGTCTCCGTTGTCTCCCAGGCGCGTACGGCATCCGGCACTTCAAGAACGGGATATCGTCTCTCGCCCAGGTGTCAGGCAAGGAAAGGAAGGAAATGGCGCGCATCCTCCTAGCCTGTCTTGTTGGCAAGATACCGAAGGCGGTCATGCTCACCTTCCGGTCGATTCTCGACTTCATCTACCTAGCGCAGTACCCGACTCACGACGACACCACTCTAGGATATATGACCGACGCTCTGAAGACGTTCCACAAGCATAAGGACATCTTGATCAAGCTTGGGATCCGCGACCACATCAATATTCCGAAATTCCACTCCCTCTTGCATTACATGGATTCCATCCGCCAATTCGGCACTACCGACAATTACAACACCGAGATGTTTGACGTCTCCACATCGACTTCGCCAAAAAGGCGTGGCGCGCGTCAAACCACAGGGACGAGTTCCCTCAAATGATGAAATGGATCACCCGTCGAGAGAAGATGGCCGCATACGAGGCGTTTCAGAAGGAGTGCCTGGTGGAGGAGGTAGTGGAGGACTCGGATGGCGACTCTGACGACTCAGAAACGGGTTCTCATCCAGAAGAAGTGGTTGACATTGGGAACAGTGTCAGGATAGCTAAGTATCCTCCGGCCCCTCAGCAGCATCTAAATCGTATCCAGGAGCGGCACCATGCTCCTGGTTTCTCGACCGCGTTGACCGCCTTCATCAATGACATACAACCTTCCGAACTTCGACTGAACCGCCAAGACCTGTCGCGAACGTGGCTACCGTTCGATCGTCTGGACGTTTATCACCAAGCCCGCCTCAGTCCCATCTCGCTGTCGGACGGGAAAGAGGAGAAAGACGTCGTCAAGTCCATCCCCGGATCAGCTATTAAGGGAAGAAAGGGACGGTTTGACACCGTCATCGTTCTTGAGAACGGGGAAGCGGAATCCACAGGGGTTAGAGGTAAAATTAGCTGTTCCATTCTCACAGGTCTGCCGCTCACGAGGAATGCTGTAGGTACACGAGCAGGAAGAGTGAAGGTAATATTCAAGCTGCCTGAGAAGCTCCCCGCTCGCCAAGGCGGCGGATGTTCACCCTCATGGTGGCCCAAAGGACCACTGGCTTACGTCCAGTGGTACTCCAGATTTGCCAGCGCCGCCGATCCCATCCACCTCATGTACACTGTCAATCGACCACCTCTACGTTCTGACGGCCTTCCGCCTGGGCAGATTATTCCGCTCTCACAGATACGTCAGTCATGTCAGCTTGTGCCCGCTTTCCCGGACGGGTCCCGAGGTACAGTGCCCCCAAATTGGACCTCGGAGAACGTATTAGACGAGGCAAACAGACTCTTACTGAATAACTGGGCTGGGATGTACGCTTATCAGACACTGTGGTAGTATATTGTATCCACATAATCCTATTCCGCCGTTCGAGAAACCGCTAGATTTGCTTGCGAGCGCTTGTGACCGCCACTTCGCCGCCGTTGTCGTGCGAGACGCTGCTTTACACTCCTCCGGCGACTTCACACTTCAGCGGACAGCTCGTCTTGCTTGACACTTGGACGCGCCGCTTACACAACAACCCTCGTGCTTACAATCCAAACTACTTGTTCAGCTTGCTTGCCTCACTGTCATGGTTCGCCCGGATCCGCGAGTGCTCCGGCTGCTCGCTCCTGCTCTCCCAACGTATGCAATCGCTGCTCACCACTCCCAACCATGTCTTCGAGTGGGGCCCGAGCTCAATCACGTCACCGTGGTGTGCCTACAGAGAAGGCATTTCGGAGTTTTATTTGACTATGTAAGTGAAGTTTGGTCAGTACATTCGGATGAATTGACATGCAATTCAATTCTAGTGCGTAAAGAACGACTGCTCCGTCTGTCCGGCCACGCACATTATTTAGTGTGTCTAACCCGTTCGGAACGGTAGACCCGGAGTGAGATTTGCCCGTTTGGAACGTTGACCCGAGGCCGGCCGGAGCAGCCCCAGGGTCCGGCCGGAACGTTTGCAACGGTGCCATTGCAACGCTCCGGCCGGAGGGCATGGCCGGCTGGTCATCCACCGTCTCCAGCGTTGCGGCCGGCCTCCCCTGGAACCTTCCCGAGACATTGCAACGGTCCGGCCGGAGGGTATGTGGGCCGGTCATCCTCTTTCCAACAGTCCGGCCGGAGCAGGCAGATTTCTGAGCTAAACGGAGCGGCCGGGCAGTCTACATTGCAAACGCTCCGGCCGGTCAATAAATACAATAAACATGGTGCCATTAGCAACGGCCCGGCCGGAGTTCCTGCCAGAGCAATGTACACATTGCAACGGTCCGGCCGGAGCACATGGAATCAATTCCCAGCAATGCAAATGGTCCGGCCGGTCAGTCAATACACCACTGCAAATGGTCCGGCCGGCCAGTAGAAATGTCAGTGTCAATGGTCCGGCCGGCCGGATTTTTCACCTTTTGCCGGCCGAAAATACAATGTCTCGGGCCGGGGGTACAGCCAAAACTCGGCCAAAGCAGCCAGCCATTTCGTCGGCCGAGCTTTTGCTTTGCCGACCGGGCACAGATTTCCCCGGGCCGAGATTGTTCAGATTGTCTCGGGCCGAAGATTTTCAGATTATCTCGGGCCGAAGATTTTTGGCCGAAGCTTGGTGGTGAAAGTGGCCAGACATTTTGCCGGCCGAGCTTTTGCTTCACCGACCGGGCAAGCATTGTCTCGGGCCGAAAAGTTGACCATTTTCTCGGGCCGAAGATTTGAGTACTGCCTCGGGCCGAAGAGTTGGGCATTTTCTCGGGCCGAAGATTTGGCCGAAGCTCGGTGAAAACAGCCGGGCTGTCGGATTGCCATATAAGGAAATTTGGTATTGACTGGTAGTACTTCATTGATAGACTATAGTATCAATTCCCTAGTGACCAAAGATGTCTAGTTAGGCCAGGATGTGCAAAACAAGATTTACTCACAGGCTTCTTTGCACAGCAAGTTAATCAATTTCTGAAGCCAGTTTTCTTTTCCCACACTGTTTGACTATCTAGGATGTGTTGTTTCAATGCATAGAGTATATCCCCAACAGGAATAGTCTTATTCTTTGAAGCTGAATGCAGGACAACAGATAAGGGGTATACAGGTGTGGTACCGTGCTGAACAATGTTGACTCCTGCGGACAATCTACATTCAAAACACTGTTTCACAATCTCTGATGGTTCATTTACCCATAGGGAGTGAATCCTCCAAAGGAATAGTCTTATTCACATAAGCTGAATGTAGTACAGAGTTAAGGCAAGGGTGTATGGGTATACATGTCATACTGTGTTCACTTCCTGAAGCCAATATGCTTTCCCCACAATGTTCCACAATCTAGAGTAGCACATTTCAATGCAACAAGCAAGTCTCCCAAAGGAATAGTCTTATTCTTTGAAGCTGAACTCGGGGATGAAGATAAGGTGAATATGCATTATATTGTGAGAGACATACTTTGGATTATTGTCTGTCTGGGTGTCACACTGAAATGTTGTACCAGCATGCACATTGCACTTGCCACAGAAACATTTACATTGGTAACAGTCCGGCCGGCCAATCCTCATCCTCATAGGAGATGGTCCGGCCGGAGTGCATGATCCCCTTAACTCTGTACCACATTCAGCTTGTGTGAATAAGACTATTCCTTTGGAGAACAGATTCCTTGTGAGGAAATGAACTATTCTAGATGGTGAAACATTGTTTTGAATGTAGATTGTCCGCAGGAGTCAACATTGTTCAGCACGGTACCACACCTGTATACCCCTTATCTGTTGTCCTGCATTCAGCTTCAAAGAATAAGACTATTCCTGTTGGGGATATACTCTATGCATTGAAACAACACATCCTAGATAGTCAAACAGTGTGGGAAAAGAAAACTGGCTTCAGAAATTGATTAACTTGCTGTGCAAAGAAGCCTGTGAGTAAATCTTGTTTTGCACATCCTGGCCTAACTAGACATCTTTGGTCACTAGGGAATTGATACTATAGTCTATCAATGAAGTACTACCAGTCAATACCAAATTTCCTTATATGGCATTCCGACAGCCCGGCTGTTTTCACCGAGCTTCGGCCAAATCTTCGGCCCGAGAAAATGCCCAACTCTTCGGCCCGAGGCAGTACTCAAATCTTCGGCCCGAGAAAATGGTCAACTTTTCGGCCCGAGACAATGCTTGCCCGGTCGGTGAAGCAAAAGCTCGGCCGGCAAAATGTCTGGCTGCTT